ACGGGTTATGCATAAGAATGAAACCTGTTTTTTTATGTATAAGTATTGCAATTATGTACCTACTTATGTGTTACAGGAGAATATGATGTATCTTAATCCCCGAGGAAGATGTTGTTCATGAGTCTTAAAGTACCAGTCTTGTTTCTTGTAATGATCGTGGAGAAGCGAAGCCGTATTTTTCCGCGGCTACTGCTTACCCACCTCACCTTTTGGCTACTGTTTTGGGACTATCAACCCTGAGTCGTGGTGTACTAATCTGGGTTCATTTGATAGAAGCACAAAGTAATCTCCTTTCCTTGCGACATCTGTTGAATTCTTTGCTTCGAATGTTGATGTGCTGGAATGTCCTGAAAAAAGTTGATTATATGGGCATATTCTAAAATTAATTTTATGGAGCTAATTTTTCATTCTACTCAATGTACAAGTTAACGTCACACCAAATCTTCCATCTTCTTATTGTGAATTTTGTTTTCTTCTCTCGTTTTTGAGCATTACTGGCCATGTCGCTGACTGCGGAATTCCTCGGTTCTTCTTTACAACATAATTTTTGTTATTTTTGTTAATGTTCGTTATGAGTTAATAAATTGAGATATAAGTCTGAGTTTGGCGAGAGTCAATTCCATTCAGAGTTTACCATGGTAGTAGCAAGTAAGCACACTTCCGTCAAATCTACAGGTTGGGTTGGCTGGTTGAAGTCAGGCCATGCAATAGTGTGTCTTTATTCATCCGAAAGAACGCCGGAGGCAGGAGGGAGTTCTAGCTACACAGGTTCGATCCACGCCCATCACCTGTCCTTTATCAGATGTCGCTTCGTTTTTCATCGAATCTTCGAGAAGCGCCAGCAACGTCTCCATTCGTCCCTGTCGCGTGCAAGAGCAAGAGTGGTCCAGTGGATCCTCCTCGCTCGAGGGACACGAAGTCCTTCATTCCTTTCGTTCAGAGCTTTCGTGAAGAAGTCTGACCATCGGGCCGGCGGTCGTCCAGGTGTTCGTTTGACGTCCCGAGGGATCCAGTCGGTAACCGCTCTGGTCCAACGGTCATCGCAAAATCGCATGACGTTGGCCCACCTTATCTTCGATTCCTTGGCGAAAACGGCAGCGTCTTCGATCTTCGATCGTTGGTCGTAGTAAGGGGCTCTGGATTCACTCTGCATTTACGTGTGTGGGAAGCTGGAAGCATCGTCCTTTCCAAAGCGGGTCGGATAACGTGAGCGCATGCTCGCGTTGCTGCGTAGACCAAGTCACAGAGGATTAGTATAAAGGCAGGGATCAGGAAATTTATGAGGTTATCCCCTAAAATATCGGAGTACAGTGCGTTTCAAAAGTATGTGCACACCCTCAAAATTCACGTTTGAAAGGGAACCATGAGGTTTCGTGCTATGAAATCCTTCTCAATCGATTTCTCGTAGTCGATAACCTATCAATGGAAGCAAAGCAGATAATATCGCCTCACTTTCGAAAAAATTTTGGATGAAATTTTTTTCTTTGTTTCAAAAGTATGTGCACACCCTCAAAATTCATGTTTGAAGGAGAACCATGAGGTTTCGCGCTATAAAATCCTTCTCATTCGACTTCTCGTCAATAACCTATCAGTGGAAGCAAAGCAGATAATATCGCCTCACTTTCGAAAAAA